AATGTGAGTGGATCAACAAGCTGACCACTGCCATTACAAGGCGGCAGCCTTCAACGGAGCCTGTGCATGATCCAACTTGCTGAGAAGGCTATCCACCTCTAACAACGAAATATCTCTGAAGGCCAACAGCAGCTGTGCTCCGCGTGTCAAAATTTGAGGGTGAATGCCTAAACAAGCCGCCGCCTGGAAAGTGACCTCTCGCGGCAACATGCTATAAGGCCTTCACCAAGTCAAGCACGATTCCAGGCAACGGCTCTTGGGAAGTCAACGCAAGGTCAATGCGCAGCTGCAGCGTCAACATTGCTTGCCTTTGACATTGCCAAGCGGTCCTGGTGGTGCAATCTGTGAAAGGTGGGCCAGTGCTTCCCGCTTCGCATTGACATTTAAACATTAGTATGCGAACGGCATCACCGTTATAGGATGATAATGTCCAACTCTTTCTGCGTTGGTGACTTTGGCAAGACTGCGGACTCATCCATTGAGCCTAGGCCAAATTCCTTTGGTTTCAGCCACCTCACGTATCCAAAAGCTGCTGGTGGAGTGAATCAGGAAACGCCATGAGATCCCGTTTAGAAACTGTGTCCAGCCCAACCGTTGAGGATGCCTTCTTGGGTTTAAACGCAGCTTTCCATCGCTCCAAAGTGAGAGGTTGCAACTCCATGGTTTCATAATTCAAAATTTCCTTTGTTCGTTCAAGCATCTCAAGACATCTGCCATCAGGCGATCCCATCAAGCAACTCTGTGTGGCGGTCCCATCCAGCTGCCCATGCCTGCGCAAACTCTGCATGGAATGTATCGATCTAGTTGGCCCTTCATCTCCAACTGACAAGCTCATCGCCTAGGGGGAGGCCATGATGTGTGCCAACCAGACTTGACCTTCTTCAATGTGAACTCCTTGCCAAGGTGCGAAGGACTATGTCTTGTTTCGAAGACTTTGGCACTGGAAAAAGACACAGCAAGGACCGACCCTTCTTCCAACGATTTTTTACGGACTGTCGTGAAGACTTGGCCAACAGCATTTGAACTGGTAGCGGGGCAGGATGTCTGACATCCTTTTATAAATGCTTGGAGTCTTGTATCCTGTAGCCTGCTTGGCCCGTGCACTTCCTTGTTTCGAAACTGCACAAAAAGCGTCGCTTGATCCATTGAAAATCGCGGCGGCAGCCACTTTTGAATTGCAACAGGGCAGCGGGGAGAGTTCAGTTGCGCATGTCATGTGTGAAACTTGCAGGGTTCAAAGGGATTCATCGAATGGATTGTGATAATCCCGAAGATATTTGTTAGTATACCCTCTATAGTCATGGTGAATCTCAGATACCTGCCCAAAAAAACAGTTGGTGAACAACACATGTTGCCATTAGATGGTTAATGCTAAACATATATCCTAAAATCTGTGGTCCCCTAGGGCTTGATTTTTTGACCCGTTCCCATTGAAAAATCACAAAGCCCAGGTCATATGGCAGGGAGATGCTTGGAAATGTTGATGGCCATTTCTGATTCCTGCCATATATAAGGCCCATGTAAAGCCTAAGTGCATATACCCGCAATATGTGGCTCTATATGCTTAGTACCTCCATTTTAGGGTCCGGAAATTCGTGATTTGATCTCAAGTGGCAAACCATCGCTATTGGAGATAAACCACATATAATCACCCTGACTTAAACAGGGTTCATTAATCCGGGGTTGACATTGAATCATTACTACTGTAGTCTAGTAGTAGATATGTAATTACTGTAGTCTATAATAATAATAGTAATAATAATAACTATATAGATATATATACGTGTACATGTAGACAATTTCAAACATATAAATCATGGAGGATACATAAGTGAGAAACAACAATCTTACTGTAATTGTTGTTCAAAATCTCTGCGTGGACCCAACCAACAGTTGAAATCAGCAGAAGGTGGTGGATTTATTGACTTGTTTTTGCCATGCTTAGCTGGTTGGTGGTGCAATAACCATCTTGAAAAATATGAGTTCGTCAATGGAAAGGATTATGGTCAGTGCCGGAATTATAGAACGGAAGTTGAGGAGGACGAAGGTACGGTTATTTACCGTACCCTGTTGTTCTATAATTCTGTTTTCCTCGGAAGGTATGAAAAAAAATGTATCTGATCTTCCTCCTAATTTTTTTCGTCGTTCTATAATTCTTGTCGGAGCGCTGTTGTTCTATAATTCTGTTTTCCCCCATTTTTCTCACATTTCCCATTTTCGTTCTATAATTAATGTTTCCCGGGCCCCGTTCTATAATTAATTTTTCCGTCGAACGGAAAAATTAATTATAGAACAGAAAAATCAATTATAGAATTATAGAACCTCTTCCGGGGTCCCAGAAATCCTATAAAATCACCATGAAATCTAAGAAAATCACCGTGAAATCCCATAAAATTACCATGAAATCTTATAAAATCACCATGAAATCTAAGAAAATCACCTGGTAAATGTGGGAAAAATGGGGGAAAACAAAATTATAGAACGGAAGTTGAGGAGTACGAAGGTACGGTTATTTACCGTACCCTGTTGTTCTATAATTCTGTTTTCCTCGGAAGGTAGAAAAAAAACGTATCTGAATTTACTCCTAGCTTTTCTCGTCGTTCTATAATTCTTGTCGGAGCGCTATTGTTCTATAATTCTGTTTCCCCCCATTTTTCCCACATTTCCCATTATCCTCATGTTACAGCATCCTCATTTTATCCTCGTTTCCTCATCAAATCCTCATTTTATCATCATTTTATCTTCATTTCCTTATCAAATCCTCATTAAATCCTCATTAAATCTGCATTTTATCCTCATTTCCTCATCAGATCCCCATTAAATCCTCATTTTATCCGCGTTTTATTATCATTTCCTCATCAAATCCTCATTTTATCTTCATTTTATCTTCATTTTATCCTCATTTTCTCATCAAATCCTCATTAAATCCTGAATAAATCCTCATTTTATCTTTATTTTATCATCAGTTCCTCATCAAATCCTCATTTTATCTTCATTTTATCTTCATTTTATCCTCATTTTATCCTCATTTTATCCTCGTTTCCTCATCAAATCTTCATTTTATCTGCATTTTATCTTCATGTCCTCATCAAATCCTCATTAAATCCTCATTAAATCTTCATTTTATAGATTGTATATGCACAAATATGCAGTAAATATCATGTCAGTGCCAGAAATTATAGAATGGAGCCAGGAGGACAAAAGTACGGTAAAATACCGTACCTTTGTCCTCCTCCCCGTTCTATAATTAAATTTCCCGACTCCGCTCCGAATCGGAACCCGGAGGAGGACAACGGTACGGTATTTTACCGTACTTTTGTCCTCCTGGCTCCGTTCTATAATTCTGGCACTGACTGTATCCCATATTTTATGGAACATAAAAAATGTTCCAAACCATCAACCAGTTACAGGATCAGCCGTGGAGCGCAGCACAACCTTTAGTCCAGTCGCCGTGGAGCTGTACAAAGCACTGTACATGAGCAGTTGCGGCTGAACGCGACGGATTGCAGCTGCAAGGGTCCAACGACCTTTGCATTGGAAAGTACTTATTGGTTCTGGTCGATGGTTTATACACCCAACTGGAAAAAAACAGAGTAGTTGCAGTACAGTTATGGCCGCCATGGCCCTTAACAGTTGCACATGGAATTATAACTCCTATAACTAAGATTATTAAGTTATATATTAGTATAAGCCCAGTTATATCTGTCAAGGGCCATCACTGTAGTTGCCAACAGGTATTTTATCATGTGGTTCTGCTGATTTGTTGCTATGGATTCCCAGGATAGCTATGGCATAGGGTGATATGGTCAATCCCAAGTAAAACCAGTGAGTAGAAGTCCAAACAAATCATAATCACCCAAGAGATGTCTTAATTAACCCTATTTTAAGGCAAATGATATCTTAACTGTAAAAAATCCATACCTTAAATTGCATCCACTAGTTTTCAAATGATCTTGACCCACTGCTGATAGTTCTAGCATCTTTGTTCTTAGGGGGTTAGTGACCCCAAACTGGTTGAACAAGAGGACACATTTGAAACCATCAGCCAGGGCGTACAGAGATTTGCAGTTCACCTTTGCACATGCTCGATCCTTAAAGGTACCATGCTGTTCACACGCAAAATTGAAGAGGATGCCCTCTGGTAATTTCACAGGTTGTTGTGGAACATCACCATTCTCAAGAACGGTAAACCATCGCACTAGAGCCATGGCTTCTAGTTCGCAAACTGCAAGAAATTCCCGGGTATTTCCCATGATATCCAATTTTTGTGGGTAGTTAAAACCGTATTAATCACCATGAAGTCCCGGTATGGTCTAGTGGATAAGACGCATCCCTCATGCGTCAGACCCGAGTTCAAAACCCGGGTGCAACACTAGGCGGATAGGCGGGCCACTACCCCACCCCTGCAGAGGGGATGAGCTGGGGTGTGGTTCGTAAGAACACTCACTCAAGTCCCATTAAAAACACATTGATTACTGTAAAATCGGAGGATTCCGACTTCCGGTCTTCCACAAATCTCAACTGCTTAGATGGGAGGCTCAAAGTCAAACGATGATCATAAGCAATTTCATCATGGTTCATTGCAAAACAAAACAAACAAAAACAACGACTGCCTTGTTTCTCTGGATAATATGGGATAAACTAGGGGTTATATATATATGTATAGATAGATAGATATTATATATATATGGATCTGTTCAAACTTGGATCCTAAATAATAAGCTTTCGCTGCTTAGATACTCCCATCTCCAACAAGGGCGATGCCGAAATGTCCGAAAATATTATTGTTGGTGCAATCCCCATGTTTCGACTTGACAATAAACATTAAAATTGATGATATACAATATGATATATAATGTGTATACAATCGTATATATATATATATACACGTATATATACAGTATATAATGTGTATATATATATACCGTAGTTGTGTTGGTCAATGTTGCACCCCTTTTTGATAGTTGAATCCATCTCATTGCTTCTGAACAAATCCCATACTAGTTGCCTTTGCAAGCCGGCCATGAAACTTAAAAGTGAACTGCAAATGTCCATTGGTCGCCGCATTTTTGCGCGAACTCACTTGGCTTCCTGCAAGGTCACGGCCGAGATTTCAGAAATCGATGGGATGTAACATCAAAATCATGCAGTTAGGGCCCAACTAACAGTTATAATTGGAATGACATGACTCCTAAAACTAGTTGCTTATATCTCATGAAATAAGCCCACAAACATAATTGTTAGTTGGGCCATAACTGTGGTAATTATGAACACCGTGAAACATGGGGATTAGACCAATAGAAATAGTCGTATACTGCAATTTATATTAATTTCTGGGATGACCAATGCACCAATGGGAATCTTAAACAGCTCCTTCAGCGAGTTGAAGAGAATGGGTCAAGGAAGCATCAACAGGAAATCAAAGTTTTCTTTCCATGACAGCTGCCCTTTTTCCTTAAACTTAAAACAACGACATCATGACATCCTGAGAGAAAGCTGGGAAGCTATGGGTATGAGACATTCTACGATTTTCACCTGGTTGGTGGTTGAGCCTACCCCTCTGAAAAATATGAGTTCGTCAGTTGGGATGATGACATTCCCAATATATGGAAATTCATAAAATTCCTGTTCCAAACCACCAATCAGCCTATGAACCATTATTATCAACCATCATTATTAACCATCATTATTGACCATCATTAACCACTAATATTCACCCTCTTCTACTTGTTTGCCCCTTCTACAAAAAGCTGCCGGGATTTTTTGTGACATGTGCCATGGTCAGGCGATATACATGGGCTCAATGCGGTTTTAGGTCATGTCATGCGGAAGCCGAACATAATGGATGTATATACATATCATATATACACATACACATATGATATCATATATGCTATCTAATATATATATAGATTTACATATATATATACATTTGTATATAAAATTATTAATTATGTATATATAACAAATGTGAATAAACAAAATATGTATGACAATGAACTGATGACCATCTCCCACTTTGTGGGTAGCCACAATCCAACGTTTGACGCTGGGACACGGCTATCCACAATAGAACATTTTGGGATGATAATATACATCAAAAAACAACACAGATTCCGTTTTTGGACAACAATAATACCGTGGGATATTCTAGTCTAGTACCCATCTTGCAAAAAAGATACAGTCAGTATTTGTTTTGGATAATACCATCATGTACATCCAGAAGAAACTTCATCAGAACGAACCATGATCAGCTCCAGAATCTGGACATGAAGACACCTTTTGGGCTCAACATGGCCCAATGAAGATCATAAAGTGATACTGTGGATGGTTGCGAAATCCTGCACCACCTGGGATGGTAGAAAACCTATAAATAATGGGGTAAACCATCTATCAACTAGTGCAGGATTTATTCCATCCACCGTGTCAAGCCAAATGCAGTGGAACCAACCTGGATCCATGGATTCGTACCGATGTGGTGCCACCCAGCTACAAGTTGGACAAAATAGACCTTGTCTGAACTATGGATCTTAATCTACCACCATGGTCAATCTTTCGTAGTCAACAACAACTTAATCGTTTTAAACTAGTTATGGTTATGTTCCATTTATAGCTACACTCTGGTGATTTAACATACCCATGGACAATTACCCATTTGTAAATGATTTATGATGATTTACCAATTTTGTTCTTGATGATTTTCCAGTTCACTACGTTAAATAACCAAAGGCTACCTATCCGTTGGGGACAAACCCAGTGAGTGAGGCCAAGTAGAGATCTGCTCACTTCGGAAATGGTTTATTTCCTGCGAGTCCCAACTCAGTGATCCTGGTTTGCTGCCATAGGACTTTCTAAAGATTTCATACCAACATCCAAGTTTTATCCAAGAAGATCTGACAAGATCGAATATAACATTGATACAGGAACCTCCTATCACGTGGGCAGGAGTGCGAATTGGGTATCAAAACAAATAGATGATGGTGAATACGAACATATACGAAAATGAACAAAATGACGTCCCTCAACCCAGACAAACCCTGCCAAATAATAGGAGGTTGGAAGGGCACATTCATCCAAAACTGCGCTATTCTCATGTTCTATGTTTAGGTCAGTGTTGGTATATGGGATCTGTGATGTAATTTGTCAACCAGAATTGATGGTTTGGAATTAGTTTAATCAACAAACATGTGTTGTATTACTGTTCTTACAAGGTGGGCCCAGTGATAAGTTGGTGTACAAATTTCATTGCCTGTAGTTAATTAATTACCATAGACCCAATGGTACGGGTGACTACCCAACTTTGCTATCGTTTTTGGGGCCCCACATTGTAACCGGCCAAAACAGGTCAGCGCGAGGCAGTTCACGCCTCCCGTTGACGCAGCACTGCTTGCAGTCTGGCGCCAGCATCTTGCGCGACCGTGCCACCCTGACGACAACAGGCTTAGAGGATGCTACAATCATGGGGTAGTGCAGTTATGGCCATTTATTCGTTGCAACTGGTTATTTCATGTGATTTCTATCGGATGATAGATTCTACAAATGGGGTTCTCATTACTTTATAACTGGTATTTCAGGCCATCACTGTGGGGGCCATTGGGTAATAATTCAGAGGTGATCATTTTTAGGGTCCCCCCCACGGCCCCCACACGACTCTATGATACAAATAGTATGCGCATCACAAAGTGCTTGAACAAGATTATATGTTGATGCAAATCTATATCCATCTATATCCAATACATGTTCACTGAAATCTCAAGTACCAACATTTAGGTGTTTGCGCAGACATTACAGTAATGGCCATTTACCAGTTATAACTGGTTATAAATGGGATTATACATTCTATAAATGGGGTTATAAGTACTTATAACTGATAGATGACCATAACTGTACTAATGGAATGTATAGAAAGTTTATGTATCGCGCTCATCGCGCCTTGGCACTGATCAAGGGCAACAGCTCCTGGACGCGGGTCTCAGGCATGAGGATATCATACGAGGTTTAGAGGTGGGAGGGAAAAAACAGTGAACATATGGTATCCATACTATAGTAGGTAATCCCATATTATCATGATTAGTTTTGGATTATATAAATCCCACATAAGGTATCTACAAGGTAGGCCCCACTGATAAGTTGCTTTTGTAAATATCATGAACTATAGCTATAACTACCACAAACCATAGTGAAGCATCTGAATGTATCCCAGATCAGCAAGATCAACAATTATCAAGCGAAGCTCACGAATCTGCACCAAAAACATGTTTTGCCTAAACTTCATAGCCAAACATGTTATATAATTATTCACTATGGCTACTGGTTGGTGGTTTCAACCCCTCTGAAAAATATTAGTCAGTTGGGATGATGACATTCCCAACTGAATGGAAAAAACAAAATGTTCCAAACCACCAACCAGAAAAAAAGTAATATTCACTATGCATAGTCAAAACATGGCTATTAATTATTCACTATGCATCAGCCACAATGCATAGTCAATAGATCAAGCCATTGACCTACCCAACAACTCCGCAACGACCCAGGGCTATTCTGAGCCTGGTCACCTGCAGTGAATTACCGGAAAGCTCCCACTTTTCACGGTCAAAAGCCATGGTTTACCCAGTGAAATAAGGGGGAGATCAGTGGATATAGCTGATGAATGATGGTTGATTGACTATTTTGGGGATTACCCTCTGGTGATGACTGTTACATAGGTATTGAACATGGCTCGTAGAAATAGTTGATTTACCTAGTACAAATGGTGATTTTCCAGTTCGCTATCTCACAGTTTACCAGAGGGTATATTACCATTAATCCCCCTTGAGCACCATAAATTGTCATTATTAACCACTATTCATATAGTTTCATATCTATAAAAATCACTATGGTAAACTCAACCCCCATACAAGGTGGTGCCAAGTTGGTTTATAACTCCCATAACTATGGTTTATGGCAGATATAACTATAGTTAATGGGGTTTATAAACCAACTTATAACTGAGGAGGCTCACATTGTAAGTTGGGATATGAGGCCCCTATAGCTATGATAATGTGTCCACTTGTGGCCACTTATAAGTGGAATTGTATTTCCATGTAGAAGTTTAATATTGTCATTTGAGATCATAATCCCATTTCATTGGTGGAATATGTTTTAAACAATGTTTGACTCCACCAAGCAGTTGATGTAAACCAACATAGCCAATCGCATAACCATTGTTTATCAAGATATGTATACATATATATATATAGTGGTATCTAGCCATTGTTTCTGCTTGCGAGTAGAATCATCAAACATATCACCAGCAGTGTTCAAAATCCTTTGTTGTCCCGTTATATTGGCTGGTCAAAATGGGTCATGATAATCCAAAATATATGTGGTAATGTAACACCAGAACTAGTCATCAACCAACAAACTATATAGTTAATTCCCATCAACAGCCAAACAATACAAAAAAAAACTCCATCACATCTAGTTAATATCTAATTAACACCTACCCTCCGGCAATCAAACATGGTAGTGGAAAAATACATAGTTTGTATGTGTTTTCCCAGCTAGACACCTCCATGTATATGGACATGTTCCATCCCCACCTTTTTTCCGGACACCGGAGGGTAAATCCCAGTACTTTTCCATCTTCCCAAAAAAATATCCACGGCCATTCGTCTTTATTGCCGTTGTTCAACCTCCTTGATTTTCCATAACTGGTTGGTGGTATACCTACCCCTCTGAAAAATATGAAAGTCAGTTGGGATTATGGAATTCCCAATATATGGAAACAAATCATGTTCCAAACCACCAACCAGATAAAATTATCCCTAAAATTCCCTCACATGTGTGCCACGGTTACTTTCTCTGGGATCCTCATCCGCAGATCTGCAGCGATTTCGGTGCTCCTCAGCAATGGGCTTCTGTAGATCCGCCTCCAAATCCTTCAATGTCGCTTTCTTTGGCAACACCTGATGCGACGGTGAAAACTTCAGCAGACAACGATTTCCGATGCAACTTGATAGGTTTAGTAATTTGTGTGGAAAAGGCTTAGTTCAAAGATATGTGATGTTTGGATTATGTTTGGTGTGTTTGTTTTTTTCCATCAGGGTTCATGACTATGATTTGCATGGGAGGTGTGGAAACACGAACAAAGGGCCTGGGCCATGCTGGTAGTTCGAACCCATCCCAAAGATCAACGAGAATCTTCCATTGCAACTCGCTTGGAATAAACACCGCCCAAAAAAAGCCCCAGCAAACCGATCCAGTACAGGGGTACGTATCTTACACCAAGGGGAGAGGATTGCATTTCTTTTGAATCGAGGAATCAAACTTTCAACTGGTATACAAAACAATTTGATGATGGGACATGTTGGGACCATCCCATCTATTTCTGCTCCAGTTTCGAAATTTATTTCAAATCCACAAGATTGAGTTGGGTGGTGTTCCGTCACGAGCTCACCACTCCCTCGCCTCCAAACACATCAGGACTGCGCGCAGGGGCCTGGGTGGCCGTAAGAAATATAGATTTGATTAATATGGAATAGGGGACGAATTGCCGATGAATCTACGAAAACTGCCAAGAATAATGATGAGTAATCCAAACAAAAACAATTGGGATTAATTTAAAGATATTTAAAGAATATGGGGGAATAATGATTAATCCAACTATTTATTGGGGATTGACTCAAGAACATGGTCTGCTGAAAAATCGGCAATTTGGTTCGACGGTGTTCCCAGTAAAAATTGAGGGATACATCTCATCGGAGCATGAGGATGCTATTGGGTTTGAACTGCTTTTGTTCATCCAACTCCTGCAGTGATGGCCCTTTACAAGTTATGATAAGTACTAAGTCACCCCATTTGTAGAATGTATGATCCCATAGAAATACCCACCTATAACTAATAAATGGCCATAACTGTGGCATTTGAGCTCCAACCATCGGAGATGACGAAGACTGTCAGCCATCAGGTCAGTGGCCATTTGGGCCGTCATTCTCGGCCAGTTGGGGTTCTGTGCTATGCCGTGTTCGCCGACGAGTTCGTTGCCAAACCATGCGAGGTGTACATTAATGCGAGCATGAGCATCGCACCTCTGCCGGGCTTCTTCCACCAATTCCACACCTGTTGGTTTATAAACCCCATCGAACTATAGATAAATCTACCAGAAACCATAGAATTCACCTAGTGAACTAAACCAACTTAGCTATTGTTAGGGGGCATCACCTTGTGGATGTCAACCGATTTGAGATCAACAAATCCATGGTGCTTTCCGCAAGAGGGGAACAACTTTTGACAGTTGAGGGTTTTCATCCGACGGGACACCACGTTTTGGGTTGGGTTGATCGTTGCCAATCTTACATGCGTTGCATTAAAATGGTTAGTAGATCTTCCTCTTGAAATCGCAAAAGGAAATGAAGGATTAAAATATATTAAAATTTAAAATGGATTAAACGACTGTAGCCATCCAGTCGGTTGATCCTGTGATGTATTGAATTCAATAGGAACCAGGCCAAAAACGGTGGCAAAGTGATCTCACAGATGTCACTGGATTTTTCCAGCTGGTGACCTGGTGACACCGAATTCGCATGGCAAAGCGTTTTTTCCCCAATGTTTTGCATCACATCCTCCAAAATGTGCAAACATGCGTAAATTACCTTCTAATTTAGGGACTGCATCCCTCAGCTTACATGGGAACAGCAACAAACCGGGCGCCGCAAAGATGTCGGAGATCTCTCCTTCTCTTCATCCTTTGGATCATTAATGGCCCTTCATACACAACTAGTTAACAAGTTCCGAAGAAAAATCCGTCTAGAAGACTCCAAAGCCCCAATTCCAAAGGAATACGTATGTTTCACAGTTTTTAATAGCCACACATATCATGTAATTACCATCATACCAAGTTTTTTTCTAGCCAAGAACAAATAACTTACAAATAACCAAACAAAATGTTTGCATCCCGGTCGTATCACCATACGGTTTATACCACCATGTTTTGTTGGCAAATCCTCCATGTTAAAGTATTGTTAAGGTTATTGATACAATCTTATTATATATATATCACCGTTATATCCATTGTTTATTGATTAAATCCCCATTGCTGATGGTTAAATTCCCAAATTTGTTGATTAAACCCCCTATGTTTTGCCAACAAATGGCTAAAATATGCCAAATTGATTTAATTTCTCCATGTTTGATTTAAATCCTCACACCTATACTGTCCACTTGGAAAAAATAGAGGGGCCGGTTTGGTATACCATCTATCATCATTTGCTTTTTGGTTGTTAGGGGTGGGGTTGATCCCCTCTATTGACCAACCAACCAATGAGAATAGGACATCTATGTCTCCCACTTTGTTGATGTTTAGATCCTCCACTAGTATATCCCCATATCCCCAGTATCTGAATTATAAACCCATTACACATCACTACTGTTGATGTTTAAATCCATCATTATTTCTTCGAATGCCACTGACTAGTCCCATAGTTAATATATAAATGATTTTTGATTTAACTACAAAAAAAGGCATTGTTCCATTTCGCAAACCGTTAAATACTGGGTAACCTCACTTCGTTACCGCTCCGCGCTACGCCAGGGCACTTTGTCTCCAGGTGCTCCAGGGCCGCCGCATCAAGAATGCCCTGCAGCTCACGTTCTGCGCGCTCCGCACGCGGGAGGAAGAGGAACCTGGCGCTGGTGTATCCCATGGTTCGTAAATGGATGTATGAAATATTCCTAGTTATAACCCATAATATATATATATATACAAATAAATAAAAGGTATCAAAGCTAAGGGCTTTATAAACCATATATAGCTAAGGGTTGGTAGGTATATGTAAGCTATATATATATATATATATTATGGAAATATTTTTCCCAGTATACCCCTAGTTGTACATGGACTATTCCCAAGTATATCGGTTATAAACCTCTTACGTGCCTGAGATGCGCATCCAACGGTTGGTGGAAATCATCCAATGTTTTTCACAGGGGCTGATGTCAACAGAAACGGGAATATGATCCCCAACAAATACTTAAAGATGATGTTGGTTTATGTTAACAGTAAAAACATGCAACTTATATCTGGGGGGCACCACCTTGTGTTTAATGTGTTTTCAATGATTGTTAGTAATCATCACTATCGTTGACACACATTGTTTTTGAATTGGTATTTAAGGGTGTTGTAAAATGTTCCTGATGGTTTTTGACGCTTGCCATGTTTTGAAACAACGAACATGCGCAGGGAAACTGCATAAACAGCGTGCATGTCTCTCAATTAAAGCACCATTGTTGATAGTTAAACCACCGTTTTTGATGGTCCTGGATGGTAAAGTATCACTTCTAATGGATAAACCACGATTTTTGGTGGTTAAATCATGTTCAAACCCGACGTCCATCCATATTGCAGCCCCTGGGCCTTACTGCCTCGCTTGAGATTTCAAGGGCATCCACATCCACGTCCTAGGGGGAGAGGGCCCACTAAGGGAAGGATGGATCTGGATAAAATTCTCACGAATCGACACTGGGTAATGTGACATGTGGTAAACCCAACAATATCACAATAATATACAACTCGCTACCATGTTATAATCGAAGGAAGTTTGAAAGTCAAACATGCGACAATATGGACAGATGGAAAATGCAGAGGTGGGAAGACTCAGAGAAGAGAAAGAGTCAGTAGAAACAAGATCAAGGCGCGCGAAAGGGTAGAAAAGTCGGGTAAACTGTATTTTTTCCAATGTTTTGTGGCTCCGGAGAATCGAAAAGTAAGCTCGCTAAAGCGGCGGGTGGATGCGGAGCCATCTGGGGAGATGAGAGATCAAAAATTGCACGCTGTTGTGGCGCGAAGCACATTTCCAAGTCATTAAAATGGTGAAAACACCACATGTTCGAACCAGTTTTGGACGTTCACGGCACGAATACAACTACAACTAGAATTATACAACTACAACTACAACTACACTACAACTGCAACTACAACTATAACGACATTGCACTATACTACATCTACAACTGCAGCTGCAACTACAACTACAACCACGACTTCAACCACAACTACAACTACACTATACTAATTACACTACACTACAGCTACAACTACAACAACCACTACAACTACACTACACTAGACTACTCCAATTGCACTACACTACAAATACAGCTCCACTACACTACACTACAACTACAGCTACAACTACGACTACAACTACAACTGCACTGCACCACACTACATCCAGCAGTTGTGGTTGAGGTGACCACTGCAACCACTCAAATTACTTTACTTCGTGTGATCCCCACAATGACATTTATACATTTTGTTACTCGCAAATCTTCTGGCATTCTATCTGACATATCTTCTGGCATATGTTCTGGCATTCTATCTGGCATTCTATCTGGCAAATCTTCTGGCATATAATCTGACATATATTCTGGCATTCTATCTGGCATTCTATCTGGCATATCTTCTAGCATATGTTCTGGCATATCTTCTGGCATATCTTCTGGCATTCTATCTGGCATATGTTCTGGCATTATTTCTGGCATATCTTCTGGCATTCTATCTGACATATCTTCTGGCATATGTTCTGACATATCTTCTGGCATATGTTCTGGCATATCTTCTGGCATATGTTCTGGCAAATCTTCTGGCATTCTATCTGGCAAATCTTCTGGCATTCTATCTGGCAAACATTCTGGCACTTTATCTGGCATATCTTCTGGCATTCTATCTGGCATATGTTCTGGCATTCTATCTGGCATATCTTCTGACATTCTATCTGACATATCTTCTGACATTCTTTCTGACATTCTTTCTGGCATTCTATCTGGCATATCTTCTGACTTTCTATCTGACATCTTTTCTGGCATTCTTCCCGTTGAGGTCCGGCAGTGCCCACTGCGATCTGGAAGTCGCGGTTGAGGTCCGGCAGTGCCCACTGCGATCTGGAAGTCGCGGTTGAGGTCCGGCAGTGCCCACTGCGATCTGGAAGTCGCGGTTGAGGTCCGGCAGTGCCCACTGCGACTGCAACTCGCGGTTGAGGTCCGGCAGTGCCCACTGCGATCTGCAACTCGCGGTTGAGGTCCGGCAGTGCCCACTGGGATCTGGAGCTCGCGGTGGAGGTCCGGCTGTGCCCACTGGGATCTGAACTGCGAGGAGGAGGCGGCGGGTGAGGAGGCGGAGGAGACAGAGGAGGCGGAGGAGGCGAAATCTAACAACCCTCACCTGGCAGGTGGGGAAAAAACACAAATCCAACCACCTTTCGATCCATCAGTGGATTCGCTCTGCCATCCGTGCTTCACAACAACCAACCTCTCCTATAGATTTCCTATCTCTTCAACTTTGAGACTTGCTGGCCTGACTTCAGCTTAAGCAATGTTGGACTCACCGAGTTTCTTTTTAAACGTGTTTCCCGTCTTCTACCATGTTGGGTCACAAGAAACCCATCCTGAATCATTTGGTGCTGATTCTTGCTAGAGAAATCCTCGTATTGATTACTTGTAATTACATTTTGTTGCCTGCCAGTAAATATGACCCATGTTGTTGAATCTTGTTGACCCCAGTTCGAACATCCCCTGTTTTTTATTTTGACAACCCCATTGTTGATGGAAAAGTCAGGTTAAATCCGTATTTGTTGATTGTTGATTTGGTTGAAACCCTGCTGTGTTGATGATTCTCGTTCTGCTTGATTGTATATCTGGCTGAAATGCAATAATCCACTAAAGTTATGACTCTGAACAGTTATAAATGGGCTTTATAGTGATATATAATCTTATTTAAAGGAGTTATTTCATTCCATTTATAAGTGTATTCAGAGTTATTTCATTCCATTTATATTAAACATTATATAGTTGGGCTAGTAAAATGCCATGTAGACTACCCCCTGGTAATTTAACATAGCTATTGAAAATTTGCCATTTATAGTGGATTTTCCCATTAAACATTGTGATTTTCCATAGTTATGTTAGTTTACCAGAGGGTAACCGGGTAACCTGAAAATTTTCGCTCAGGTTACCCCATGATGTGCCTCTGGGATGGCGTCGACCCATCCTCGTCGTCCACGAAGCACCCTGGGTGTCGGACCCAGGTGCTGCTGCCCCTAGACTAGTGAATAAATATCTATAAATATCCATAGATCAGAAAGAAATATCTACCGCAAATATCAATAAATCATAGCTAACCTAGTGAACTAAACATTTATAAACCAACCTACAGTAGCTAAATACGGGGCACCCCCTTGGCATTTTAATAAAATATGGGTTTATCATGGTTTATCATTGCTTTACTACAATGTGGGGCCCCCTACTTGTAAGTTGGTCAACAAACCCCCCATCTATAACTAGTTCGATATATCTACCATAAACCATACTTATATAATCTAGGCAGTTATACACCAACTTAGCGAAAACGGGGCCCTAGCCGCTTTGTAACATGCGTTTCCTGCCAGCCACAAACGCGATGCCAAAAAAGTTGGTGAACTTCCCTGTAACAAGCTCTACCCTCTGGTGACGTGGGGGATTCTCAAAGGCCAGCCAACCCTTTCATGAGAGAGGTAACATCACAAGTTTGCAAATATAAACAATGTTACAGATATATCTACAGGTTGGTTTATGAAGATAGCTTGATGTTATCAACCAAATGTTAACAGAATGCTGAAAAATGTCTTGTAATCTACCAGGTTACCATAGACCTAGACTAATATAGTAATTTACCAGAGTATTCAACATTTATGATCATTTGCTATTACTAAATGTTTAATATATTGACTATTATAGATAGTTACTGTTATAACTTATAATCTAGAGAGTATTGTAATATTTCACTTGGCGGCTCATCCCACTTGAGCGATCTTCAAAACTTCAAATAAAAACTGAAAGGACGTAATTCATGCTAGGTTACGTGGTTCACCCTAGATATAAGTAGATCAAGTGATTAACTCTACTTATCCCACTTATAGCCAGGGACATAAGCTACTTAGTAAGTGGATTATGAAAATCTTGCCATAAACCCTCGCTCCGCCCCTCAAGCTTCAGTGTTTGACCAGGTGCTGAAAGACTTTTGCCATGGAGTGGTTCTTCAACTCCTGCAGATGACTTGCGCAGTAGCCAAACGAATTCCAGGGAAAAATGGAGGTTTGAATGGGGAAATCCACTTAAAATGGAAAGTCTGATGCAGTTTTAATCGGAAAATCAACTTAAAAAAGGAGGATTGAAATGCCTTGATGGTGGATTTTCTACAAATGGGCATCTATTTTTAATGGGAACATCATCGAACTTGCTGCGGAATGTGCAATTTCCTATTTCTGGTACTTGGATATAGTTGGACGGATGGATCAACACTGAGGATTGATCAAGAACCGCAGTTTGAACCATGGAAACTACCCTCTGGCAACTTAACAATTTGCTATGAAAAATAGCATATTTTGCTCGATGAATCACCTTTTTGAAAGTATTGGAGATTGTGATGTTCCATAGTCATATGAGATTATATACCAAACTCAGAGCATGTGTTTTTGCCTGGTGAGTGGCAAAATTCGCAAAACCACGAGTCAAAGTACATCTGGGTTAGTCCGAACATGGGGTAGCCAAAAAAAAAGAACCCAATGGTGTATCATCTGTTCCCCGGTGGAATCGTCCGAAGTTGGCATTTTTTGCCTCGCGAAATTGCACTTGGAAGAGTAATCATTCCGAACATTCCATCTTCGATGCATTTTTTGTGGGTAGGGTAAACATGCTCCTTGTGATGGCGGATTAATCCGTGCACAGAACCTATATCCGACATATCCCTATTGTTGATGGCAAAACTTTTGCCATAGGATTCAACATACCCTCTGGTAAACATACAAAAAGCAATGGAAAGATCCACCATTTTGTAGCTGGGTAAATCCACTATTTCTATGGCCATGGCTTCAATAGCTGGTGAAACCTCGATGACTCGGATGGGTTTCAAACCCCCCAGCCAATTTGGTGATGTCCTTTTAAGGTAAAAATCGGTTGGGGCCGGAAGCTGGTTAATCCATGAAAAATCCCATCTATCATCATAGAAACCTCTTGTTTTTCAGAGGTAAACCTGAAGAACCCCCTCTATTTTCATCAACCAATATCAACCAACCAATGGGAATTTGGGACATCTATGCCCCCAGCAATCCATCCCGCCTTCAAGGATTGGTTGCGGGTCTCACGAAGAGCCTGTCGTGCATCCTTCTTGCATTCCTGCGCAGAATGGCGAAAAAACAGAGATGGAGAATTTGGATGATCTTGTTATGATTGGACTTCTTGGATACACTATGTGGGTAAAACAATGCCATGTTTACCCTCCCCCAGTCATCAGTATTTATTTTGGTGGTATGTTTACCATTCCCAAATTGGTGGTTTATGACATTGTTTTACCCACACAGAGCCACTCCGGGTATGCTCCCAGTTGGTATGTTCAAACCATCCTTTAGGGCCTCTTGGGATGCTGTGATTCTACAGTGGATAACTGCATATAACATTATACAACATTATATACTGCAACTATCCAACTATAAACAACTACCTATCACGTATGAAAGTGAATAGTTGAATAGTCACTTAAATCGCCTTGCTATAACTAGTTGTGAATAGTCAAAATCTCACCACTTGGATAGTAACATTTGCTGATCGGCTGTTCCACGGAGCCAAAGAGCAACACCGTGAAAAACATCGGGCTAAAAATGGTAATGTCCACAATGTCCACAGTTATGGCCCAACTAACAGTTCTTTTTATGGGTTTATTTCATGATATACAACCAGCTAGTTATAGGAGTTATTTCATTCCATTTATTACTGCTAGTTGGGCCACAACTGCAGGATGGTCTGAAAGGTATACATGGAATTGCTGTCGGATACTTTATATAGGGCCGTCAAAATTGGTCAAAATCATGGAACTTTGCAGTAGCTACTATAGTTTGTTGCAATAACTCAAGTCTGCAGTATGCAAATTTTGATCTTGTTTACATCAATAGGGGATGATGATTCCCAATATATGGCAATATATGGAAAAATAAAACATGTTCCAAACCACCAACCAGTAATGTAATCACAATAGAAATGGGGGTTGCCTAAAATAGGGACAACCCCCAGTCATCGTCCAAGTCATGGAAGACCAGACCCACCAGCCTCGTAGATCGGTCGAAGTTGATCTAGAAGGGCCTGGCGGAAATTCATGGCTGGTTGGTGGTTGAGCCACCTACCCCTCTGAAAAATGATGGAGTGAAAGTCAGTTGGGATGATTATTCCATTCCCAACTGAATGGACAGTCATAAAATTCCATGGTTCCAAACCACCAACCAGAAGAGGTTTCAACAATCAAATGAGGGAAATTGGATGCAAAAAGAGGGGAATCACGTGACAAACATATCAAGAACATGCTTCATAACAATGGGACGCTTGTTGATTTAGCAAGACCTAAGTATCCAAATTATGTATCATTTACAACAGAAATCAACATCTACCAACAAGAACGGACGTATCTTCCTGGGCAGCCTGGGATGAGGAGAACCAACACTATACAGTTTCTGGTTACAGTTGTCTATATAAACATTGGTAGGGAAAAAGCAAGTTCTTGCATGTTCCTGCCTTAGTGGGGAAGTGATCTATTTCTATGTCCCTGTGTTTTCTGGGCAGATGTGGACATGGTTTAACCCCGGGGAGGAGAATCCATTTTTAAGACACGAGTTCCAGTGTTGTTTGTTGTGTCAGTTCATGATATACCGAATCTCCATCTCCATTTATAAGACATCATGTTTGTTGGTCATATTATCACTTGGATCCGCTATAGTCTGTGCATCATGTTTTCATGTGAATAGGTTCCATCTCCGGTGGTTTGTTCATGTCTGTTCAACCCAAATGATCATTGTCTATTATATTTACCGCCAAACACTGTTGCCAAACACATCATTTCGCCCAAATCAACTTTAGGTTTCCAATTTCGCAGTGTTTAAGACTTGTTCTTTTTCGAGGGTTAGGTCTTTTGGTTTTAGGGTTTTCCATGGTTTTGAGGGTGTAGGGCCTGGGTTTGAGATTTGAGGTGTTACGGTGTTCGGATTCAGGATGCTTTGCAATGATGCGCAGGTCCCCTGCCTGAGCTTTTCAGGAATGCCAGCATGGAAATGCCAGAATGACCCACAGTTTTAGCCCTTAACAGTTATATATATATATAAATGGGCTTATAGTGATATATAACCTTAGTTATAGGAGTTATAATATGTTATATCTAATTCCATTTAGAACTGTTAGGGGTCATAACAGCACTATTTATATTATGTTGAAGGCGTTTGGCCATATCTTTACCCATACAGAGACCATTAGCAGCTGACTAGACTAGCACCATTTCTGGGATGTGTTCCGTTCCACGGTGGGGCTCCCAATCGATAGCGATTGGTTGGGGCAAATAACTAGGGTTTATGGATGTTTATGGCAATCATGATGATGTTTTTTGGTGGTTTATGAACCAACACTAGAAACTGGGGGGCCACCTTGTACCTATATGATCACCATGGTTTTTGGCATCATCCATCATCCACGCGCCTTCAGGGCATCGGCGTTCTGGTTGCGCTTCTCGGTTGCACAGGGACCACAAAGACATTCACGGATGCTCTCGAATGGCACCTGGAGGGCCGATGCGGAGCCCTTTTCCTACAATGTGAGGCCCCATAGACAGCTAAGTTGGTTTATAAGTCCAATAACTATGGTTTATGGTATTTATCACTATAGTTAGATGGGCTTATAAACCAACTTATCACTGGGGGGGCCCACATTGTACTTACAATGGGAAACAAAAAACATGGGAAAACCATGGAAATGGGTGCTGTTTTTGTTAACCCCATGAATACTGTAATTGGTATACTATAGTAATATCCTGCATAAACCTACACGTTAACCAAGTTATAGGTCATTGTTGCTGAAAAGGCCCACCTTGCACAGGCCACACGAGAAGATCGTATGCCAGAGCACTTGAGTTATCTTAATAAAGCATAGGCTCAAAATAGTTAGGAGATGTCTCAATAAAACCTACTATCCAAATTCAATAGTACTTTTAGTACTTCTACATGTACTATATGCATCTATATGCCACAACAATAATTTATTTCAACAAAACATACATCAAACATCATCAAACCATCAAGGCTACGAGATCACAGTCTGAAATTTGTGTATGGATTGGAATTCATTGGTCACCCCAGGAGGAGCCAACATGCAACCCTTAAAAAACACATATCATGAATCTTGAAGATTATTTTGTTACCAAACATATCCAAAATCACTATGTTATTCATTTTTGGTGGCTCCAGTAGGTTTATCTCCAAGTCAATAATACTGAATTCATAAGACTCTGCATGATTGCAAACAAGAACCTGGTTGATTCCCGTGGAATCACTATAAACCCCTATAATTCCTATGAATCCCCGTAATAAATCCCTAAAAATCACTATAAATCCCTTTTATTGCTTATAAATCCATATCTTTCTTGCTAAAATGTCCCACTCTTTGGGCTGTTCTCTGCCTGGTTGATGCGGGCGTCTTCCAACAAAGGCAACATGGTCTTGACGGAGATACGGTTGGACCACCAGGCGTGGATCATGTTCCAAACCTAGAGCTGAAAGCAGCTGTGTGTGAAATTCTTATCTATAATCATGGTACCCACCATATACATACAAAGTATGTATACATATGTATATATATATATATATGTATATGTATGTATATTAAATACATATAGATATGTATATATATATATATATACAAATAGAGAGAAAGATAGAAAGAAACAAAGAAGGAAAGGAAAGGAAAAAGGGAAGGGAAGGGAAGGGAAAGGAACGGAAAGGAAGACATAAATAGCAAGAACTAGCAAGAGATAGAAAGAAAGACAAAAATAGCAAGATCCCCAGGTGACCCATGAAAATGCATAGGCAATGACTATTTTACCCCAACTCAGTCATACTCAGTCATGTCATGTTTGACCCTCTAGACGCTGGATTATTCTAAAGCAACCCACAGATAGAAATGTGTTTCCAGGATGGCGATGCCTTTTCTACATGGTGTGGACAGAGATATCTTTTGGAACGTGAGACTGGGGGAGCCAGACAGGCGGTTTCAGGAAATGATCGGGTCCAGTTTCACTAATTAATTTATACTGCTGAAACCGCATCCAAATCGAAAGCTATGAAAAATCTCCATCTCTATCCCCATCTCTATCTCAGTTGAAACTCTATCTATATCTCTAACTACCCATCTATAGCCATCAAAAAGACAATTCCATCAAAATCGAGTCTAGTTTTCCCTAATAAAGTCCACCCACCAGGAGTGAAAACAGCATGGCTTGGGGGTCGCGAAATCAATCGCGGCCTCATCGTAGTGTAGGGCATCAAACGTCACTGGAAGGCTCTCCAGGTCCACTTCATCAGGAATTTCCTGGATCTCCAATTTCCAGCAGTTCAGAAAATGATCATTGGATGATAGAAATGTATATACATCTATACTACTTGTTTCAATTCAATGAATCCAATTTATGGATAGTATTGGATAGTTGTTTCTATCACATGGATTCATTGAAAGTTGAGGGAAATCCCAGCTGAAAACCTGCTGCCAAATTGGAGATCCAGCTGCTTCAAACCATCCTCTCTGATTGCGAATGTACCTCAGCTGTCAGGGGGAGCCATGAGCCCCGTGATGACTGTATGGATAGATATGGAGGTTTCCGGAGTCATGGGGGTACTCCCCAATCATCCAAATTTGACCAGTTTAGAATCGAAATTCATGGCTATATCTATATCTATATTTATCCATATCTATATTCATCGAGATCCATATCTATCTCTATATATATTTAAATTATAATCATTGATTGGATATGCCGAAATAGTCCTTGATGAGGGTGGTATTTTATAGATGTGCATAACAGGATACAAAAGGTCTATAATGTTTATATATATATATATATATCGATTCAAAAAAGTCACATTCATAGAAAGGAACACGCCGGTATGGATACTGTTAATCTGTGGCAGTTCAACATAGCCAATCATGGAAGATAACCAGTTTGCAGATGATTTACAGTGATTTATCCATTACAAAATGGAGATTTCCCATACAAGGTGGTGCCCCAGTTCGTTAGCTAAGTTGGTGCAAATAACTCCCATTTCACTATGGTTTATGGCAGATATAACGAACCAGTTCATGGGGTTTATAAACCAACTTCTAACTGGAAAGCACCATCGTGTACTTATGGCACTTAAATTACCCGTTACCCTTCAGCCGAATCGAAAGTAGATTTCCCATACCATCGGAACAGGACCTTGGATGCCCCTTAAAAATCACAGCCCCGGTCCGCTAGGTGCGCCAGCTGGGATTGCTTAACTGTTGATCCAACTTTGTTAAGCCATGTTAAAAAATATAGTTGTCAAGAGAGTTCATAATAACTCGATATTGGGGATTATATGTGCAGTATCATTTCCACATCAACTCATGTTTCACTTTCCCAATCAATATTAAATATTAACCATTCTATATTACTATCCCATTAAAAGATTTTTACGCGGTCAATCTTTGGTATATAGTCCGCAAAACTAATATTGTGATGGTTATTGCTACTTTCAGTTAAACACTGACGGATGAAACTACCAGTCCAGTTGGTTAGGGATGACTATATATATATATTCCAATTCTATACCCATTCTTATGTCCATGATATTCCTAACATGTACACAATGTAGATATAGTAATAGATAATACTGGCAACTTATAAACAAAACACATCCCAAAACACCATCAAACCCAGACTCCAAATGGTTGGGGAGAACTTTCCCAATCAATATTAACCATAATTGACATCCAATTAAAGCATTAAAACTCATTAGTAGCTATTGGGTAACCACTAGGGGTGCCCCTATTTCAAAATGTGTGGTTTCCTAAATCAAGAACTATTTCCTAAATCATTATTAACAACTAATTAATAACCATTAATGATCATTAATGTCTCATTCAAATCCCATTAAAACATTTTTTTTCGCCATCACCTCATGGTTCACCAAGCTGCTCCACCACTTTCCCAGCGCTCCCCAACTCCGCCAGCCGCTCCAGCCGCCAGCCGCGCGTCTCCCGCAGCGTGGATCGCGCTGCGTCGACGCAGACGCCGTGGAAGCGGCGCAACAGGCCGTGGAGGCAGCGGAGCTCGTCGTAGATCTGCTCCGGGCGACGTCCTGAACGCGGCACTAGCTGCGAAGCATCTGTGTATAGTCTAAGAAACCCTGCAGTTGTGGCCTTTTTATGAGTTTTAACTGGGTATTTCTATGGGATTCAGCATTTTATAAATGGGGTTATAAAAAGTTATAAGTACTTAGAACTGGTAAGGGGCCATAACTGTGAGCCACATAAAAATGAAGCCACGCGAGTCGAAATTATGACGTTTTTGAATATGAACATTGGGATATCTCATGCAAAGATAGGCCCGAAAGTCAGGAAGTATCCAATCCAGTGGACGACGATTCTGCCAGTGAGCCAGCCATATCTGTGCAATCTGTGCCGCAGAACGCACACGAAGTCACATTGACCGAAATACTTTCCGACACAATACAAACACACAGGACAGGTGGCATAAAACCACAAACCAATTTCTACCCTGTCCTGTCGTTGTCCCAACAAGGACTCCCCACTCCCCCGCCCACGCTCCGGTCGTCTAGCCGCTAGCTGGAAAATCTATGATTCATTTCGAACATGTTTTTGCCTTTCCCAAAATACAATCAGATTTGAAACGGGAGTTTTCCATTGAAACTATGATATTTAAATCCCTCATTTATAGATCACATAGGTGATTTTCCTCAACGTTGGAATTCAAAGGGGTACTTGCTTGCACCTGCATCCCGGTTACTAAGTGGGTAATAAAACTCGAAAAATAGAGGAACTAAAGTGACAAAGAAGTACTGTTTCCGCAAATGTCTGTTTTCCTCTGTCCGCTTGTGACGAAGTCTTGTGTTTACCTAGGTCGAGCTCTAGAGCCAGAACAGTTACATGGACAACAATGTACCTGAGGCATGGTAGATCATGTACCTTTCAAGTCGGGTGTTCTCCTGTAAGTTGGTAAGATGTTGTAACTGGCTCGAGCTCAAACTTCAGTATCTGTGCTTGCCAGAGGACGTGTCCCTCTGGTCTTCATGAATTCAGCGGGGTGTAGTCTTCGTACATACCCCTTCATTGCACTAATTAGTTGCGACCGATCGATGGAACCTTTGGTCATTCCATCGGCTATCATGTCGCGTGTGTCGACCCAACCTAAAATGCGAATGATCTTCGAGGTGGTCAACTGCTTAATCCATGAGATATGAGAGAGTAGTGAATTTTCCGTTGGGTATTTGAAATTTTCATTTTCCACCGCACTGAAAACGGACCTGGCGTCTATCCAGACATAGAGTTCGATAAGGTAACCACCATTTTCTCTTAAATTTATACTGGATTGGGGGCTAAGAGGTCCGAAACATATTTCATGAAGGGTAGTTATGATTATAAAATTTTGATCAACGGATGCTGTGAGTGCCAACAGCTCAGCGGCGAATGTGCTGCGCACCACGAGCTTATGAGATTGAGAAACGGCCTCAATCAAATGGCATCTCTTTACTCCTCTCACATCAGTGCCCATTCGAAGGTATATTGCACCTCTCAAAGCGTATCCCTTGTCATTTTCTCTGGAGAATGCTGAATCAGAATATAGCTCAACAACCCTGCTACAAGTCATTGAGCTATACTCTAATTTCTGGGGACGACGTTGAAGCTCTCGGGTGAGTGCATTCAGTCTTTTGACATGTGTAACAGTGGGGTTCTGAGTTACACGTTGGAGGGAAATTATGTAGACTAAGACCCACGCCTGTGTTAGGGCGGAATAGGCAACGGCTCCTAACAAGCTCCAATACAGCGCTCTGAGGTGCTCGGGGCATTGTGCGTCCTTCTGGAGATTGGCATAGTGCTTTGGGTTTATAGGTTTTAATGCACTAAGGTATTCTGTCTGATCAAGAGTGATGGTACCATCTGGGAGTCTTTTATGACATATACCACAGTTTGTAAATTCACTTTCTTGATAAGTCAATTTCCCAAAGTGCCTTTCCAGGGTTTTAACCAAAGAATCTATTTCTGACTTCATACCTGCCATTTTAATATCATCTACATGAACGGTTATGGCTAAGACTAGGGTTTCTTTCTTATGTAACATTAACAATTGGGGGTCATACAAAGATGCTCGGAACCCTAATTCCTTGAGGATGTTGATTAGCCTCAAGTTGAATGCTCTGGGAGCGTCTCTACAGCCAGTGCCAGGCTTCAAGCATTTGAGAGCTTCCGTTCGCTCATCAAAATCCTCATATCCTGGGATCCGTCTGAGATGTTTGGCTGTTCCTGCCGGGACGGTAAAGCTTATGTGTTTCTCGGGCTCTCCAGTCAACTTGTTCATCTCGGAAAAGGTAAGCCCTTGAAGAAATGCTTTACTTATGTCCACAGCGACAAAACTCCAATCTTTGTGGCAGGCTGCTTCACTGGCTAGAATCTTTTGGGATGTTCTTTGCGCAGTGGCCGAGAAGTTCACCTCATCTTCGGTTTGCGGTTCCTTGAACCCTCGCAAGGCCAACCGCATCCTGATGATGCGCTTCCCGTCTACATACTTCCACTTAGAAACTAGCTTGGCGTCGATCAGAACTTTACACTTCTTTTTGGGGATTCGTTCAAAACAACCATATTTATGCCAGGTTTCATACTCCTTAACTGTTGCTTCATCAACTTCCTTGCGATGGTCAATTAATTCCTTAGTTGTGAGCAAGTCAGTATCTCTCTCAATGACTTCTTTCTTAGCTTCTGCATTAAGGAATACTTTCATTAAATTGGGTTTAGACACATCGCGACTGTCTTGGAAGCATTCAGTGATGTTTTCTGAGATCAACACTTCAAGGAATGGTTCATCATTTTCATCAAACTCAAAAGTGTGATCATACTCATCGAAATCTGGACTAACTGTTGGTGGTATTGAATCCCAATCATTATGGTTGTCTGGACTTGTAAAATAACACCAATCATCTTTAATCTCCACATCTGCTGCTTCATCTACTGGTTCGTTGAGAACTACCCAGCACAGCTCCTTGAGATCACTTTGGATTTCTTTGGGAGCACCTTCGAAGTGTTGCAAGTACAATGCTTCAACCTCTGGAGAGTCAATGCTAACTTGAGATTCCTCGGCGATCGTACTGAGCCGCCCATCACTACGACCCACCTCGATCTCTCGATCGAGATGCGCCATAGCCGACGGACGGTCCAGCACTCTCTCCTCAAAATCATCAAGTGTCATCCCGACGTCTCTGTCTAGCATAAAACACTGCATTGTTGCGACGAAGGGCTCCTGTGGGCCAAAGATTTTGTTGATGTTTTGTCTCGGATGATCGGCAACATGTATGAGCATTGCATCTGGGTTGTTCATGTTCCAATTGAAAATCACATTGCGGTATCTGTCGTTCAAATCTTGCAGCTGTTTGATTTTATGTCCAATTCTTACAGTGCAGATATCATCCATCTGGAGGGAGTTTGTTATGATGAACTCTAGTGCTTTTGAAATTTTGGGCCATCGCTTGGTGGTTCTCGTCAGTCTGTCATTTACATACCCAAAAACTTCAACACGGCCATCAGGGAGTTCATTCAGAAATTGATGGATGTATTCCATGGCGTTCAAACAGATATCCGCATTGGTGTGTCCATAAAGAGAAACTGTTGCATAGTATTGTGCTGGGCGTACATCTTGGAGGCGATATGGTCTGGTCTGTCCATTTATTTTAAGAGCTACAATGCCATCTGCGGCTACACACTCTACGACTTCATATGGACCGGTCCAGCCACTCATGTCTTTGCTCGGGGGCGTTCGGTATAACTCTACCAAGTCTCCTTTTGCAAAACGGTTTTCTCCCGACAAGGCAGTTTTGGACCCCAAAGCTCTTTTGATACGAGATGCACTCGTGGCTGAAACCATAGACTGCAATGCAAGTTCGCGGATGCGAGCATCAACTCTCTCTTCCAAGCCGGCGTTGTCAGTGATTGGCGGAAGGCAAGCTGGCTGTCTTCCCATCACTACCTGGTAGGGTGTAACTCCTCCTACATGTGTTAGTGCGTTACCCATAAAGACACTATTGGCAAGTAATGATGGGAAGTTGATGTCAATACCTTCTCTTATGGCTTGGGATTCCATCACATGCATTGCATGTCTTAAGATCGCTCCTCTCCTCTCGATGTACCGAGCGTGTTGGTCCTTGCCTCTTACCTTTAAGACTACACCCATACGCTTCAATCTTGCTTCAGCGCTGGATGAAGTCAAACCAGCTTCACTGTCGGTGACAAGCTGTTGAGGTGGGCCAAAGATGGATACCCATGCTGTGTGGAAGTTCGTGATTAATTGGTCTTCTGTTTTGTTAGGAGTTTCCACAGCAACATGCCATCTTGTCGCTCTGCAAATAAAGTGATGTACAACAAATTCTCGATAGAACATCAAATCGGTTTCTACTACTTCGTTAAAGTTCATGGCCAAAGAAACAGAGGGTTGAGTATCTTTGGCTTTTGGTGCCCACTTGCGGCATTCACGGCAGGTTGAAATGATGTCAGGAATGTAGCTTATGACTTCTTCAGGTATGCCTGCATTTCTTAAAACGCTAGTCATGTTGGTGGGTCCTGCATGCCACCATCTTAAATGCAGCTTCCTGAGTGTTCGAATAATTGTTGGTTCATGACTACTTCTCAAGTCTTTGAGACTATGAGTGACATCAAATCTAGACCAGTCAGATGGATGTTCACTGCCTGCGGCCGCATCCCGGAACTTTCGATAAGGGCCTCGGAGTCTGCTCTCGGCGGGTTCGCCGTCATCTGGATTGTAGGGGACAATCCTATCTTCTACTGGAGGTGCTGCCCCTACGGCTGAACTACTGGCAGCTCCTTCACCGGCTCCCAAATCGGTTCCATCAGGCAGTTGGGCCTGAGAGTCTTGAACCGGAAGTTCATCAGCCCGCTTGGCTGGTTCTCTGGGATGGTGGCCTTTTCGATGAATGCCCTTACGGTGAGCTATGGTCATGTGTTTGCACTCACCTTGGGCATAAGTATGTGAACTGTCACCAGCAGGTTTCATTTTCTTACATCCAGGGCATGTCCATATTACGGGGGCATCTAAAGGATATTTACATGTGTCAGG